CACACACACACACACACACACACACACACACACACACACACACACACACACACACACACACACAAATATATAACATTAGAATCATTAAGATAATATATTATTTTTCTAACCTCTAACTGCCTGTGCTGTACCTCTCTCTCTCTTCACCAGCCTTGACCCCTCAGGTATGGATCCTTTGCGTCCGAACCTCTAACTGCCTGTGCTGTACCTCTTACAAACCTCTAATTACCTTCCCCACACCCCTATGCTAACAGGAGCCTAACGACTAATCCCTCTGATGAGCTGCTAAGGGTGCTAGGCGACGAAAAGCGCGCTTAAGGGCGTGCACCCCCCCTACGGCTGGGTTCTCATACCCATTCCTAACCACTGCTAACCTACGAACTCTAACTTTGTTAACCTGCTCCTTATCTAATCTGTGCCTTGATGTATCCTGTACCTAACTACTCCCCTTCCCCCCCTTGCCTAACATTGGACGTAACGACAATGTCTAGTGAACCATTCTGAATGGGATGGTCGTGTTTTACACACACCCCCTACGCACGCACACGCACACGCACGCACACGCACACGCACACGCACACACACACACACACACACACACGCACACGCACACACGCACACGCACACGCACACACGCACACACACACACATGCACACACACACACACACACACACATAGGCAGATATATCAGCAAATAGGTGGACATATGGACAACTGATATGAAGTTATGAACGGATAGATATACACAGGCTGGTATGGATAAATTAGATACAGATGTAGGTCAACGATTGGGTGTTGGGTGAATCGCAAGTGCTTGCAGTGAGTTGCTGACAAACACATCCAGAGAGTGCCAACTGACTCAAGTACAGGATCAAAGACTCACAACAGCTACACTAGCATATCTTGATGGAACTCCAGTGATTAGGCCTGACTCTGTGCTCTCAGCACAGGTCCAAGAACAGAAATAAACCAACTGCAGGCTACAGGACTGCTGGCTGGTAGCCACTACTGCTGGTAGTGGACTCAAAACATGTGGGCCTCATTGTGGAGCTCTCTCTAACTGCAGTGCACACCGGCAGATTTCCCAGTACCCCTGCTACCATATTCGACCTAGAGCTCTGCCAGAGCAAGTAAACTGTTGAATGATAACACACCCATAGTTTCGGCTTTGAGTTGTTCTTAACCGGCTCTTGAAAAGAGGTACTGAATGCAGGATTTAATAAAAAGATGCAGAGAATGGATATTATATTTTTGCATGTTTCTTATTTCCCTACTGTCCGTCTTTCTGTCTCGTTACGACCAGAGTTATCCTTTTGGATTGTGGACGCATTGTGTACCAAGGCCCACGTGAGGACGTTGTTCCGTACTTCTCCAAGCTTGGGTAAGTTCTGTGCTCTTTCTTTTAGTTTTTGAGAAAAGAAGTATAGTCTATAGACTGAGGTTGATGTTTGGTGAGTTTTTCATGTTGCAGATTTCGTGGGTGGTTGAAGCCTGGAAGGATGCTCAACCTTGCAACCCCCGATCAGCTTTGCCTCTTTGTCCCCAAGGTGTGGGCAAACAGAACACTGTGAGGCATCTTGCTATCCCTGTGGACTGCAGAAAAAGGACCTTGGAGCCTGTGTTTGAAATGCTGAGGCCCTAAACATTGAAAATACACTCTCAGAAGGCCTCAGAAAATCAAATGTCAAGCTCAGCTGGTAGAAGGAAGTCAAAGACTCAAAGCCGACTCCAGAACAAATTCCTTAGTTGTCTCCGGCGTTTTGCCTACAGCTTCAAGTTTGTTTATTCCATTGACAACAACAGCAGCAACAACAAAAACAACAGTAAAAAAAATGATAGTAATAACATGATAATACCCCCCTCTTATTGGTTGATATCAGCTGGCATACCCAAGCCTAGTTGAATACCCCCCCTCTTATTGGTTGATTTCAGCAGGCATACCCAGGCCTAATTGAAGTCGTACCTGAGTCCACCCCTTCTCCAGTCCAGCACTAGCTGGAAGCGCTAAATTCAAAGAGGACCGTCTGACAACTCTTTAGGGTTGAAGAGGCTGCAACGATGTGAAGAGGCACAGTAAAGGGGCAGCCAAAAGAAGAAATTATCAAAAGAACGGTTCCTGTGTGCTCTTCACGCTTGTCTTCTGTACTTCTATCATTTGTTTGGCAAAGTGTGCTCATCAAACAACCCCACTAAGGCTTATCGGCTGCGGCACCGAGTCTCGCATCTGCAATGGTCCATGTTAGTGTTTTTGCATCGCGAAGCGTGAGACGTCCGATGTAAAATTCTGACACGCGATCGTTTGCATCGTGAAGCGTGAGACGTCCGATGTAAAATTCTGACGCACGTGATGCGGCGTGCCTGACGCGTCTGATGCGTTTGGCGTTTGTTTTTTTCTCGGGCGAGTCCGGTTTCGTTTCGTTTTTGTGTTCTCTTTTATGCTTTGGGCATCGCTGCACCACTCTTGAAATATGGACAGATACACGGTCATGATTTTTGTTTTTTGTGGATGTCGAGAGTAGTGAATCTTCCGCTAGGATACGGACAGATTCACGGTCATGATTTCTGTTTTTTGTGGATGT